GAGGGCGGCTGCCACCCGCCAGGGCCCTTCCAGCCTCCCCACTTATTCATTCATTCATTTGCTTATTTATTTACTTATTTATTTTTTTCTAACAGCTCGCTTACACGCTGCACAAACAGCCCATACATCCCGCACGGCCTCGCTGCCGCACTTAGACAAAGGCAATAAAAACAGTGAGGCGGAGAGGCAGTACGTGCCGCTAAAGCATCCTGTTCAGTAATTACATACAAATTTTATGCCCTCCCTTTCAGCAACTTTGCAACCTGCAGCGTGGAAAGTTAAGACCCGTGCCCACCCCACGCCTAAACCTCAGCTAAGGAGAGATGTGTCAGTGCGCAGACTGCCCCCGTCTCAGCTCCCCTGCGTTTCTGCACACTCAGGCCCCGTGCCGAAGTGGCTGAGTGAGCAGCGCGGGCGGCGAGGGCTCGCTGCTGACGGGGCAGGGCGCATTGAAACGCGCTGCGTGGCCACCGCTCGTGCCAGCCCGCTCGTCCCAGCGCGTTCTGCCACAGGAGCGCGAGCCGCACAAAAGAGGCGGGCGACTGCAAGGCCAGTACCCACGGCAGCACCTGTGCCTCTAGCTGTGACCCGGGTTAGAACTGTGTCAGTCACCATGTGAGTGATCCATTCATTTACACATGTATTAAGGCAGTACATGCACTGCTAAAGGGAGAAAAACCAGCATTTGTGGGTCAAGCACACAGCATCCAGTGATGACAAAGACTTCAAGTAGCTTAAAAATTGCTGAGAAACAGATCTTGGCAAAACAAGATAGGGAACTTTCTGACACCCTCCCCTCTCCCCTGATCACTTTCGGATCCCCGTTTTTTATTATTTTCTTTCTTATTCCAAAATCCAAGGAGCATGATCATTCTCTCTGGTTGTCAATGTGGTGCAAGCATGTCCAAAAATGCATCCCCTGCCCTGAAAAAGTTCTCTTTATTGGTAAATAACATGTAGAATTGATCTATTAAATATCTGCAAGGTCAGACATACAGGTACTGAGCCAATTAATGTCAGATAGTCATTGTAACATTCCCAGGGGACATTACTGAGAAGCCACGTTACAGGAATACTGATGCATAATTGTAATCTTCCATTTCACCGGACGTGGCTTTTTTGCTTTCCCTACATATTTGCAAAGCTGCAATGAAAGAAGCAACAAAGAGAAGGGGAGCAAGAACTAGAAACAGGTGCAGTATTAAAGCAATTCAATAACAGGGAGATTTATACAAACAAGCCTCTCCATTTCTCTGTTTCTCTTTCTTTCCCTGACATCCTTTAAGAGCCCTGATCCTCCATTCCCTCCTCATTTCCCTCCACTCACTGACATCCTGAACTGCAGCATATACAGTGCTTATATGTGATGTATGGCACTGCATCCTTACAAACCATCTATTTTCACATATTTGGAAATAGACCTTTAGCACACCCATATACATTACATACATGAGCAGCTGGCAGCGACTGAGCTGCAAGCAGTGGCAGGGTGAAAGTCCTGTCATACTGGAAGGACATTAACAATAAGCTATTCTGGAAGACAGTGCCCCCACTTTCACATCTCGCCAAGCAGAGACATTTCCAAAAACCTTTGGGTAACTTTATGCAAACTAACCGCATAAAGAGATCCAATGGGGAATTTTCCTAAGATTCTTATTTTTGTCCTTGCCTGTTTTATCAATTTAGAGGGAGACAAAAATCAACCAATTTTAACAAGAAGGACAAAAATTGTGCAAAACCCAAGCACAGTCAATTTGAATTTGGATTATGATTGCCTAAATAATTATTCGAAGAAAAAAAAAAGGATCAAAAACATCTTTATTTGG